AATTTATTTCATCAGCAAGTATGAAAGTTTTAATACAGTTTGAAATCCGTATTAAATGGAATATTTTGATATGCTTTTCTGATATATTATAAGAGGTATACAGATTAAAACTATGAAATAACAAAAAAGATCATTCTTGTTGCTTCAAATGGAATCAACCACATAGATTAGCTAGAAACAATGGTCTGGTTATCTAGATTTGGCAAACCAGTTGAGTTTTACCAGTTAGTACAAGGCAGTGGATTTTAACTCCAGCTGTATTTGGGTATAACAGTAATAAGGTTTTTCTTACGTATGATCAATTTTCCTAATTCTCCTTAATAAAACTGTTTATCACACTCAATTTCCAAGCCTATACTATTTATTCCTTATGTTCAATTGCGTAACAAGGTTCATCACTCGAAGCTTCACAATTTTATGTCACTCACCTTTTCTGTGTCTCTGAAACACTCATACTCGTACCTAAATGGCATTCTTAAAATCTGATTAGCTAGTAAAAGAAATTAGCTAAATCCATCCCCCATGTATTCAAAAACTCTTTGACAACTACTGCCACGAAGACAGATCTAGAATTAGGTTTCAAAGAAGATCAATAATCCAGTATCTGGTCGCCTGTGTATTGTTCGATGAGACACCCAAACAAGTATAGAATAAAAGCTATACATCCTTTTGTTTTAGTGTTTCTAATCCCACTCCTATTGGTCCTGATTTAGATTAGGCAGTTATCAACGGTTAATCTTAGATTACCGAACTAGTCATGGATCTGCAGAACAGATATTCACCCTCTGATAGGTTTTGAAATATAGACATACCTAATATCTGCTGTCTCCTATCAGTTTCTTTAACCTAAATATAGGATTAGATTTCGGCCATCAACTGGTTTCGGCTCAGTATCCGTCATTCACAGTCGCACCATCACATAGCCTGGATTGATTGCTGTCTTTGTATATGATGGCTTTCATCGAGTTGGGGCGCCTAGATAACTATCATCGCAAATGGTTACACCAAGTGGCTTTGTTAAGACACTCATTGTTTACATTCTAATCTGATTTAATCATGGATATCCTATGAGTTAGGAATCCACCATCTTGCTGTTCCGTAATCTGTTACTGCCTAACAGAAGATTTACTTATGGACTCATGGGATGTGGATTAGATTAAAATAGCTAGACACAAGTAAACTAAAACGTAGTATCAGTCTTAGACTCCTAAAGTGAACTATATTCTGATTTGTTGACCTTATTGCTACAGTCTTCTACGTTATATAATTCTTTGGAAGAAGTTGAGTAATATATGTCAAAAATCTTTCAATAAATAAGTGGTTGTAATGTATAAAGAATACATATATCTCGGTCTAATTACTGTATCGAAGCCTTCTTTTTAAGGTTAATTCTTTATTTCAATAAAAATACTAGCACTGACTCTTTTTTCAGCAAGCAATTTTGAACGCTAGTAGAAAATTTAGCAGCCCAAATGTATGCCTAGAATGTTTGGTTTTGATTATAGCTTAAGTGTATTAAAAAATAACCAAATTTCGAAGGTACAGAAAAATCTGTGCGAATTTGTGCCAGCACTAATTTAAACAGAAAATATGTTTACCACTTCGTGAAAGTATTGGTTGAAATTAAACTGCAAAACAAGTAAAATGATTTTTCCGTCCAAGGCTTATTAACCTCCCGATCTATTAAATAATACAGAATATCTTCAAGCTTTATTGAGAATAATTTTTTTAAACAAGGAAGAATCAACAGTCAGTTTTCTGCATTGATCAAAATCTACTTTAGACTTCATAACCAATAATCTCAGTTCTAGTCGTACGTTTTATTTCTTCGTTCAACAAAGACTTCAAAAGTATGTAGACTGAATGTTTGGAAAATACAGCTACCGAAAACAGATAACTATCACATGGTCTAGTCGACAATCGTAATATTTCAACAACAAAAATGTGCCTTAAATGGTGAAATTCAGATTGAATTTGCTTCAAACAAATACCATAAATAAGTACAACCTACATTTCCCAGTCTTACACTTTGATATCTTCTGCAAGATATAAATTGGTGTTAAAATTAATTTTGTTTAGTGTTCATTAATGACAAATAAATTTTTAAAATGTATCCAAATAGGTTCATTATGAAAATTATCTCATTTTGTAGTTGGAATCTACTGGCCTTTCATTGATCAATGCCCACTAGTTGATTCAAATAAAACAAAACGACTACACAACATCTCTTGCAATTCAATGATGACAGCCTCCCTTATATACAAATTAGGTTAAAATGATGGTATTCAGACGAAAACTATCCTTTTTAATAAATTGTCTTCTTTTACAACTAATGATCAAGCTGATAGTCACACCTAAGTATATTAAAGATTCCCATTGTGAAAATCAGAACAACACATATAAGCGAACAATATTGTTTTCGATTAGATTGTCATCAGGCTTTACTCTAATATACATGAATATTTATATGAAAATGTTAAACCAATCAAGGCAATTTGAGTGATAATCACAATGAAATGAAAAAGATTACGTCACTACAAGTGGATAGTAGGAAGACAGGTGTACTGATAGTAGTAAGAAAATTATAAAATATGATAGTAGGTCAATAGTAGGACCTACTATTGATAAAACTTTATCTATCATATTTTATAATTTTCTTACTACTGTCAGTACACCTGTCTTCCTACTATCCACTTGTACTTTTGTCTATTATATCTAGTGACGTAATCTTTTTCATTTCATTGTGATAGTCACACCTAAGACAAATATAATCCGGAACAATAACGTCATAAAAATTTATGAGTGTCAGAGAAATAAGTTTGTAATCGTCAAAACTAGCAATGTATGCTGGTTATCTAAATCAAGTTGTCATTTAAATAAAGATGAAAGTACAATAACAAAGATAAGTAGAGATAAACTAGGGTAGAATAAATAATTAACAGTCTAATCAATTTTCTTGATTAGCTATTGCAAAATGAGTGGAATTATATATCATATTGAAACGAGAATAATCGTGCGATAAGTGCTCAATAAATTATACCAATCCATAAGCATCAATCAGTCAGATCTGGTGAATTTAAATTGACAGCTGGTTCACATTGTGCCTTCTTTATGACTGTGAAACTATAGAACCAATGTCAGACTGAGACAAAGGATGAGGATGGATGTACTCATTTTGGACACTAATCCGAGGTTTCTTTAATTGATACCATAGTTACTCATATCGTTCAAAGGGTCTGGAGTTTGATAACTTTTATCAAACTACAAGTAAAGAATAGAGCCATTAAAATTTAGCGCATTCAGTAAAGTCACTGAGCAGTAACATGTTATTTGAAGTGAATTGAAAACATTTTTTTTGATGTCATTCATGATCTCAGTACACTTGAACATTAGTTTAGGGCTTAACACTAACACATGCAGCTGCATATTTCAGTGCTTTGTATTCACTGGCGAGCATTGCAGTCTATCAAGAAATAAAGATTATTTCGAATCTAGCTGACAGTCAAAAGAAAATCATATACCTTGTTGTTAACATTGACTTTGTGCAACTTTAAAGCTCTTACATTTAGACAAGAAGGATAAACTTTAGCAAATATCGTTTCATTCAAAGTTCAGGTAAGTTCTTAAACACTATTTTGTCCTGTTGATTAGTCAGTTCAATTAAATGTTGTTTTTTTATGTAGTCATTTTAAAAACACCTACGCTCATTAATTTTTTTTAAATTTTGGTCTGAAAAACAATTTTTTTTTGAAAATTCATCAAATCCTTTCTATTGTTGCTTAAAAGCTCGTACTTTATAAATCATCTTTGATCAAAAGAAATTAAAAATAGGAGTGTTAGTACAATATTCCCAGAGTTTTATTCTCAAGTTTAATGAAAGCCATTCTTTAAAAATTATATTCATACCATCACCTTCATAATAGTGAGCCAGATAATGATCGTAAAAGTGGGATGATTTAAATTCTCATCAGTTACTTATGTCAATCAATCAATCAACAGTAACTTGTAACTTCAATTTAATAAGCATAATACCTCGTTTTCGTTAAGTTTATTGTTCTCAACAAATCCATTTGCCACGGATAGTGCATTTCAACAATTTACAACTGCTGTATTTGGCCTTGATTAGTTCAGTTGGGAAATCTTACATTGTGTAAATATATATTGCTTGACTGATGATACTGTCACAAATCTGGAATTCGATTTAATCGAATATGGTGATTCAATAAAATTAGTTTTATCTGAAAGTTAACTATTTCACAATTACAGCTTCACCTGACCGAAATGAAAATGAGAATTTAGAATCAAATTCACAACGTGTGTTCATTCTTGATTGATTTGATTGCCATCAAATAGAACACAACTAAAATCAGTATCTCTCAATCGAATAGGAAAATATTCCATTTGAATCCAGAAACACAGATAAATGGTTATGAATAGATCCTTGTTAGGAAAACATAGAAAAACAGAAGAGATTCGGTCGAATAAGGTAACCTCACTAGGCTAACATTTTTTCGCATTCGGTCTTTTATTTAAGGGACAAATTCCTATTGAATAAAGTGTATTTTTACATGCTTAACATGAGAATTTTCAAAACTGGTAAAAATTATACTTTTTATGATGGTGATGGCTGAACTATTTTCAAATATAACGCTATTTGAATGAAGAATCTAACAAAAAATACCGAGACATTTAAGTACACTACCAGTTTATAGAAATTAACAATTCATTCTGTTTTTAATTATAGATATGGAAAAATTAGGCTCAGTGATTTTAATTATTGTGAGAAGCCAAACTGATTTAGGTGTAACAATCCTAAGCTATCAAAGAGGACATATATTTCTTTGAGTTGGGAAAATATCAACTCTTACAAGAGTGCATTTAAAAAAAGGTTAACAGCTCTATGATTGGTTCAAATAGATTGTAAACAACCAATCAGCCATTCGCAAAATTCACATAAATCCTAATTCGAAAACATAAATAAATGTGTATGGTCATTACAGCTAACTGTTATTTTCTTGAAAACTAAAATCTAACTAATCTGTCAAAATAATCTTCTAAGCTGTAAGTTGCTATTTCTTTATCTGTGAATTATTTTAAGACTGTTTTTTTTTAAAATTTTTAAAAGATTGTCCGTCAGTGCTCCTTCTTTTATTGAATGTAACCTGTGAATTAGTTTACTTGATTAAAAATGACTTTCTTGATTTAAAACCAAATTATCAGCTGATAGTGTCATACGCTTCGAATCCCACGCACAAATATTAAATTCATCAATAGTTTCGATTTGATCTGATTTAAAAAGCTACTTCCAAACTACCAGGTAGAACGTTTGAGTTATCTTAAATTTCAGTAGTTACGGATTTTTCTACATCATTTAGATTTTTCTTATCCATTATACACGCCGTGTTTAATTGTTTTGAAAACATTCGTTAAAATGTTTATAAATTGTTGTAATTTAATTATGTAAATATTGAAGAAATCCATTACATCATTGAATAAAAATTAAGAGGATTCAGTAAATAGAATTCTTTTCGACAAAGTCATTTACGATAGTTGTACATTGGTATTATTAGTTGCGAGCCTTCAGTAGAACAGAAACAGATTATAGCAAAAAATGCTCTGAAATCTCAAACATCAAAAGAATGTTGCTCACTTCTCTAGGGGCTACAGAAGAATAGCAGGATGAAGATAATTCACAGATCACAGAAATGTTCAGTGATGAACATGATTTTTATTTTGGTTTAAATGACAAACTCTTGATTATTTATTCATACTTTTCCCGTATGATCACTGATCAACATGAAGCAATAATTTTTGTCCTGTAGTTCTCTAAACGTACTTGCTAAGAACTTTGAAGTAACATGCTCTCACTTTATGATTTATCACAAGTTGATGTTATCGTTATTTTAAATATTAAATGAAGTAGTATCTGTTTGATTATACCTAATACTTTACAACAATTGAAACCACAAACTTTAGCCAAGTAAATTTGAAAAAGAGACTTTATTTGTTTTAATAAATTTTCCATAAAGCTATTTTGTGAAAAGTTGGAACAACAAATCGAATTCTTCGCAGATTACAATTATAAACAGATACAGCTAAGGCAAATAAGAATATTTTCCCTAGTTTGTAGTCCTGATTTCTTCTATCAAAAAATAAGACACTTGCGTAAGTAAGATAAGATTTGTTTACCGTAGAAAGACTATATCACATTTACCTAGACAACGCAAATCCGACTGGTAATGCATAGATCATTCTCTTAGTTCGATAGAGTGAAGCGAACGTAAACACTAGGCACCTCAAATATGTAATCAACTAGAAAATCCCTAATGCCAAATAAATTTGTTCATAAACTTGTAGCTCAGGTGGATGATTGTGGTGGTGTTTTGTTCTCTGAGCTGGTTGTTTTGATTGTGGAGCTTTCATTGTTCTTCTGAACAACATCATCAGCACAAACTTCAGATAGAAGTGAAGCATTCGAATTTCTCCACGTTTGACCTGCAGGAATTTTAAAACCTGCGACCTACGGTTGATTCTGTCGAATTTCCGTTTCAGAAGTTTATATGTTTAATTAACATCAATCTCTATGTCAAATTAAATTAAATTAACAATATATGCCCAGCGTGTTGATATGTCAAGTGAATTACAGATCGTTAACTGTTTAATGAATAACCGTGATAACACCACTAGAGAATTTTTTAATTAATCTGTAAGAGAATAAGTGTAATTAAGATCTCATTACATTTTAGTTCTAATTTGATCAAAAAACAATGTGTAAATAATTCCACTACATAACTCTGCATAGTTATTCTATTGCCCGTCTTCACTTTATTTGTCTAGATGTCAACAAAACATTTCCTCTGGATAACAATCACTTTGTATATTTTCACTTGGCAGACAATTGATGCAATTAAAACTAAATCAAATGAATTTTGTTCAAAGTATCAAATCGATAGAATCCGCTATTCTATAGAAACTATGGAGAATTTATTAAGTCAATGTGTTGCTGATGAATATGTTGGTGCGTACGCTAAACGCGGTCCTGAACCACTTTGGGTAGTAGAAACTAAATAAAAAATTTTTGATGCTTGATGAACAGATAATTATTTTAATTCAACCAAGACTAAATTAATTTTCATGTGAAGCATATTACTGAATAGAATAAAAATTATCTTGTTTCAAATTTAATAACCAAATGTTGTGTCCCGTTTATTTATTTCAATTAATTACAGTTATGTAGGTTGACCTGTGAAACTCGACAGTGGAGTTAAGTGTTTAAGTTCCGCAGGTGAAAGTATCAATACCTCAATATCTTGTTTGCTTCAGATTCCGAAAACTAGTGATAAGTAACAGTACTGAAATGTTATTCAATAAAGAAGAGAGACAATAGTTTCGGGGTAAATTCATGAAAAGATTGATCGTTGAAAGCATTGATTAAACAGAATAATTGATCGTCTTCTAACTTTTTAATACCAAACAATTTATTAACCGTTTAATTTTTAGTCAACCAGAAAGGTTAATTAGACTTCAAAAGTGTTTAAATGTATGACATTAATACCGATTAGGAAATGGACGGTAAATGACACCTGTGTAATACAAATTCATATTTGACTTCCGTTTTAAAACAAAAGGCCAAATTATATACTGATGAACATCAGATAGTGTCGTTACAATCATTTTCATTTTGTTCAAATGAAGTCAAAAGTAATTAAAATTGAATTGAATAAAATAGGTTCATTTTATTTTGTGGGTTATTGTTGAGGTTTGTTAAATCCTGTAATCTTTGAGTGTCAAATCACTAATGTAACTTTAATACACTGTTGTTGTGTTGATACCAGTCACCATGTAAAATAAAGAGGTACCTGCTTACCGCTGTAAATTGAATTATACTAACTGGAAAAGAATTTCTATAACGGGTTAAGATATCTCTATTAAATGTTAATTGCTACCAAAAAATTGATTGATAAAGTAACTTAAAGTCTTTTAACATAGAACTTTTTCGTAAAATATAATTCTATAATCATTTAGGAGTATAAATATTATACTATCTTAACTTGTAGGAAGTCCAACTACACTTTACAGGTATCGTACAAAAGTAATGTGCACCTTTGAAAGAGTTAACTTAGATTTTATAGTAGTGAAAACGCTTGACTCATATTGAAGTCATTGACATAATTTTCATAAATAATCTTGGTAAACACAAACATTTATTATGCCGCCTACAACAATAATCAAAAAATTGTAATCAACAAAAACTTTAGGTCAAATGAACTTTAGGTGGGATCATAAATCTCAGAACTGTTTACGATCTCATCACAAGTAACCATTAACATCTAAAATGAAGTAAACATACAATACATGTATTAGATACTGATTTCTAGAAACGTTTTAGCTTAATAACGAAATTGATTTCTTCTTTTTTTCGAAGATCGGACGATTAAATCGATACATAAATGTGCTAAATCCTAACCAGGATCATAAGTTGTATAAGTGACGAAATGTGTACTTCTATACGGGTAAGTAAACAGAGGGGTAGTGACTCTTACAGTTTCTGAATTATTGCTTTGTTTTTCTCACTATTTTACTGTCGTTGGTACTCAGAAGTAAAAATTTTCAGTAACTTTGAGGCGATTTGTACTGTCTTATAGATTTCGGGTGACGTAGTTAATTATCACATTTCTAACATATTCTTTAGTTGGATAAAGGAACCTACTCTCTACATTGTTTTAGGAACATCTGAAGCTTAATAAAATGCAACTTTGTGGTACCACTTCAATTAATAATCACTTGTCATATTTTGATTCTTAACCCACAATCTTCATTGAAGAATATTTCACAGTCTTAACTAGAGAAGAAACATTCATTTCGAAAAATATTACTAAAACAAATATTCGCAAGTATAAGCACAGAGTGATTGTAAAGAACTCTCGAATGTATAACGTCTCCTTTTCATAAATTTGTCTCTTTCGATAATTTCCCATAATCTGAAGACCGAAGAGGAATATTTTTCAAGTAGCATGACCATTCATTAAGTTCAGATCTGACATAATCCTATAAACTGTTTTGTTATAGGTCACCAAACTTTTTTCGCTAATATGTCACTTGTTCCGAAAATTTCATCGTCTTCGAAATTTCAGTTTCCATGAATCACATTTCAACTTTGATTTAAATACATATTTCTGTACAACTCTGAAATGAGTTATATTAGGTGGGTACTAATTCACTAATTGTTGTGATAAGGTGGAATAGCTGATTCATTTTCAGCCTTTTGATATTGAAATAAATAAGAATGTTATTTACTCATTTATAATCAAACCGAACGTAACAAAGAGAGTAGTCAACTCACTGTTTATTGAACCGTTCAGTTACACCCTAGTGTTTAAAGAATAACGCTATAGAAACTTCAAACATGCTTAACCTTATGTTTATTAGATTTTTATAGTTTTTAGTTATTTGAAATGCATTTACATCAATCAGAATTGACATGGGATAGATTTTTTTTGTCAAACTCAATAAATTTCACGTATTGCGCTGAACAAAAACAAAAGTGATAATTCACTCGTACTGAGATAATATTTATGACATTTTATTCACATGATGAAATGCCAACGGTTGAATTGATACGTCTTTTAAGTAATTAAGTCTGCAATAAGTAAAAATACAGTAGAGAGTTGTTTTGATTTCTGTCATTTACTTCTTCATTATCTGAAAGCTGTAAGTGAGCCTTTGAGATAATCGAACATTATTTTCCTTTTTTATTCTTATCATTTGGTTTTAAGGTTTGAGATGACAACAAATATCTACCAAAAAGATAACGTCAGAATCATCATTGATCTTTCACTCTGTTTGGTTTTTCATATGTGGTAAAGTTTATCAAGAATGCAACTATTAAACCAAATGGTTTCTTACCGATTCTCATTTGAATACTTACTTATGTAAACCTGAACATGTACAACTTCACCAAATTATTACTTTTTCAAAACCTTTACATAGTTCAGTCCTTTTTCTATCAAGAAAAACTGTCTATTCACCCGATGATAAGCTTTCACCAGTTAACAGACTGAACGCATGATATTTCTTCATGAATCACATATATTCTGACTCTGATTTGTTTGATTCGATTAATAGGCTTCAATATGCTTTACTATGCCGTATGAGACAAACTCACTTTCACAAAATACGTTGTAAAGGTTGTAAATAATCATTGATATCAAGTTTTTATTAGATAAATCCTTCTTTTATTTTTATATGCTGGATTTAATTCTTCCTCCTATGGCTTAGTTCGTCCCACTATGTGTTCTACTTGCTGACTTTGTATGAATATTTGCCTTTTTTAATAGTCTCTAGAAACTGCATTTAGTTTTCATTAGGTGAAAAAGATGTGAAACGGACAACCTTTATACAGAAACTCTCTCAAACAGAGTCAGAGTTTAGTTTTTTTTATGTAAATGTCGTATGCGCTGTTTTCTATCCTGGTAGATACATCTAAAAATGTGAGAGACAAAGAAGAAAATGACCCTTAAACATGATGAGTTGGGGCAAAGGCATCATCGAGAGAGGGTGTAAAAACTCGATTCCAAAACCTGAAGGCACAGATAAGCTCTAAGAATAAAGAAAACATCATGTTTAAATCAATTTCAGCCAATGGACACTATTCAAATTCTTCTTCTGATGTTTATCTAATGCCTTGTCGATTAGATCCGTGATCTATCACAACAAAAAAATCTTTAACAAAAGTCATAATAAAACTGAATAGTAAGTAATAAACACTAATGCTTGCTTATCAGTAACAAGTCTTGTAAAAACAACACTAAAATAGTAAACAGTTTTGTTTCCATGTGGTTCATATTCATTGTTACTTTGATTTTTGTCTTCGCAAGCTTTCCTTCAACTGAATCGCGTTCTGTTTAAACTGTTTACTTATAATAGTTTCCAGAGCCTGGTCTTTTACTCATATCAGACGTTAGGTATATCTACCTGATCTTTAACGTCTGAATATTTGGTGGTAATTCAGTTAGGTTTACATCTCTGAAGAGTTATAAATATCATTGTGAACGAAAATATTATTTATAGACTCATGTTGAATTTTTCTTAAACCATAGGGTATCGAATAAAGTTTATCATACTGGTGATCCACTTCTTTATGACCATACGATATACACTGGTAGATAAAACTTAGTCAGAAATGGTGGTAAGATAAAAAAAAAAGTTATCCTTTATCCGACTAAACTGAGTAGTGAATGAAACATGGAATTCTTTTTTTATAAATAATGACATTGTAATTACTGTGCAAATTACGAGCTAATACTAAACTTTTGTTATACTTCAGCTTAAAAGAAAGGAAATTGCCACTGTTATCCTCAACACATCTCAAAATCATTATTCTTCTTAATAAACTAATATAAATGACTTAGGAGAAACCCAGATCTGTTCTGTCTTTCTTTAACTGGGTTGAAAAATCGAACTCCGATGTACAGGTTTTACTTTTGGTGATACCATATCCAACGTGTGAAATATTTGGTACCTAAAACATAGGTTAACTTTTTTTTTAAACTAATTTCTGAACTTCCAAAGGTTACTACATCTGAGCCCGATTTATGTGAGGTTATTCCGATTTCATTTATTTTTTAAGCTTGTACTATATAAGTTATTTTTAAGTAATTGTTTCAAATGTGCTGGTTGAAATAAATCAAGGTTGTTAAGCATTAAAAATCAATATGAGGTTACTCAAGCCAAGTTTACATTAAATTTAAAAGGAAAAGTGACAACAGAGTTTAATGTTCTTTTAGCATGAAGCGAACATTTTGAGTGAAATAAATCAACAACACAACCATATAACTCATATGATGTGATTCTTTGACTAGAAAAATCAATTACACTTTATCACTTTGACTGTCATTTCTGGCCTCATTAAATGATATCAGGAACTATTAGTGATGTCTAATACGCATCTCATCCTGAGTGTAACAACTTGATAGGTAGTCAATACATGGTACTAATCTAGTTGTTTTCAATCGACTGATAATATACCCAAAATTATGAGATTCAGCATCCTGTTATGCTAGTTAAGTTGCTCTTACACGTTTATTACTGAACCGTCTGAATAATCTTATCCTTATCTAATTTTATCCTAAAACAAAAACCTGATTCTTTTCGAATCGCTGCTGTCTACTTTATCGACAATCAATAGCCTGCATAATAAATATAAA